TTAAGAATTTTGTTTATTTGAAAAATATGCCAATCATCAATTTACTGTATCAGCTAAGTTTTATTCATATAAACCCTCTCCAACAATGTATGGAGACATCACAATTGAAGTTTTTAATTTCAAACAAAATGCAAGACCATAATTGATACTTTCTGATACATGCAAACATGCTTAACTCCGCCACATTCGCCATGTTCCTGTCCCAAAGTCAGGAGCCTGTAGTTCAGTGGATGTCGTTGGTTCATGTCGGTCATATTTGTTTTTCATAAATTATTTTGTTATAAATTTGGCCATTTGTTTTCTCAATCGAATTATTTCTTATTTTTTATGTTGGTCCTTTTATAGCTGACTACACAGTATGGGTTTTTCTAAATGTTTAAGGCTGTACAGTTGCCTATAATTGCTTACATCCACTTTATTTGAACTTTGGTAGATAGTTGTCTCATTGGCAATCATACCACATCTCCTTATTGTTATATACTATGTTGCTGACAAAATTACTTATTTCACATCAATGCCTTTTTTTGCAATACCAACTCTGCAAGATGTATGAATGTGTTGGAAATAAAATATATTGGAAAATTTAACTAAAATCTAATTTATATATGGATGCTTATGTTTCTGACTGACTCAAAACTTACATGTATATATTTTATTGCAATTATTTGATTCATAACATCAGCAAAAAGAACTGTTTGTGGATTATATGAGTTATTTATACAAACAAACCAAGTTTGTATTCTGTTGTCTCGTATTGTAATATTTTTCTGTAGTCTCATATTTTTAATTTTTTCTCCAATCTAATGTTGTATATTTATTGAGTCTCATAAAGTGAAATATTGTTTCTGTACTTTTAGTGTGAGGTTGTCTAATTCTTGTATAGTTGTTAGAGTGGTCTGCCAATACTCCTTGTTTATGCCTCTAGTGTCAGTTATCAAAAACATTCCAGGTCACCAGTGGAAGGCTTACTAAAATTCTAGAGACATTTTTATTTACCTTTTCCAAAGATCAAGGTAGGTATATGCAAGCCTTCCATTGAAAAGATGAAATGTTTAATGATCACATCAACCTTAACTGATGTAACTTTTCAGGTAAAATTATGTTCTGTTTGTATTGATGAGCAAGTCCTGACAACCCACAATTATTTAAAGTAAAACTCTCCTAATAGAGCAAATCTCAATTAAAGTCCCGATCTCATCCTTGTAATTGAGCAAATACCAACTCCTAATAAAATGCTTCGCTGGGGCGCAGCTTGATACGACCGCAGAGGTCGAACCCTGAACAGTTGGGGCAAGTATGGACACAACATTCAAGCTTGATACAGCTCTGAATTTGGATTGTTATTAAATATTTGACACATCATAGGTTTCTGACACAGAAAGAATGTGGTCTAAGAACTTGAATTTTTTTAATTTACCTATTATGGTCCAATGTCCAAAATCAAAATACATGGGTTAGATTCAGCATATAAAAAAACCCCATATATTCAATTTTTGTTAAAATCAAACAAAGTTTAATTTTGGACCCCAACTTGGACAAACTTGAAAACTGGGCCCATAATCAAAAATCTAAACACATGTTTAGATTCAGCATATCAAAGAACCCCAAGAATTCAATTTTTGCTAAAATTAAACTAAGTTTAATTTTGGACCCTTTGGACCTTAATGTAGACCAATTTAAAAAACGGGACTTAAAATTAAAAATCTAAATACACGGTTAGATTTGGAATATCAAAGAACCCCAATAATTCAATTTTTGATGAAATCAAACAAAGTTTAATTTTGGACCCTTTTGACCTCAATATGAACCAATTTGATAGCGGGGCCCACAAATAAAAAATCTAAATTCATGGTTAGATTCAGCATATCAAAGAACCCCATATATTCAATTTTTGTTGAAATCAAAAAAAGTTTAATTTTGGACCCCAACTTGGACCAACTTGAAAACTGGGCCCATAATCAAAAATCTAAACACATGTTTAGATTCAGCATATCAAAGAATCCCAAGAATTCAATTTTTGTTAAAATCAAACTAAGTTTAATTTTGGACCCTTTGGACCTTAATGTAGACCAATTTAAAAAACAGGACCCAAAATTAAAAATCTAAATACACGGTTAGATTTGGAATATCAAAGAGCCCCAATAATTCAATTTTAGATGAAATCAAACAAAGTTTAATTTTGGACCCTTTTGACCTCAATATGAACCAATTTGATAACGGGGTCCACAAATAAAAAATCTAAATACATGGTTAGATTCAGCATATCAAAGAACCCCATATATTCAATTTTTGTTGAAATCAAACAAAGTTTAATTTTGGACCCCAATTTGGACCAACTTGAAAAATGGGCCAAAAATCAAAAATCTAAATACATGTTTAGATTCAGCATATCAAAGAACCTCATATATTAAATTTTTGCTAAAATCAAACAAAGTTTAATTTTGGACCCTTTGGACCTTAATGTAGACTATTTTGAAAACTGGACCCAAAATTAAAAATCTAAATACACTGTTAGATTCGGCATAACAAATAAATAAATGTGATCAAAGATTTTACAAATCTAATGCGCAATACTGTGCAATTAAAGATTACTTCTTGAAATTTTTCAATATTTGAAATTTGAAAAAAAATAATATTTGAAAAATAATTCTTTTTAATTTCTGAAATCTGAAATGAGAAAAAATTGACCCCCCACAATTTCTTTTTATCCCCCCCCCCCCCTTTTTTCCCCAAAAAAATTCTTTCCCTCAAGATATGGTCATAATCTCAATTCAAATTTCCAATGGAGTTGGCAACCATATTTACCCATTTAAATTTACCATAGTGCTAACTTAATCTATTTTATAATAGAATTAAAAATATAGTGTCAAATCTTTCATATGGATTTTTTTGTAAAAAAAAATGATGCAACATTTGCAGATATTTTTACTAGTCTTCCTTTATAAATATGCATTTCTTTAAACATAATTTAAAAGCAGTGTAAGGGAAGTAACCAAAACGTTGTATTTGGATTACCTCCCTTACCTTGTTTAAATTATCTTTATTGTTCATTAACCATTACTTTATACATAATTTAAAAGCAGTGTAAGGGAGATAATTTCAATGATGAATTTGATTTATCTCCCTTACACTGCTTTAAATTATGTTTTGTACTAAAGTATTTGTCCATTAACCAGGACAACCTTGTTTTTCCCCCTTTTTTGCCCCTAATTCCTAAACGGTTTGAGCCATAACCCCCCAAAGCAAATCCTAACCATCCCTTTGTGGTATGGAAACTTGTAGTATAATTTCAGAGAGATCCATACACCGTTCCACAGTTATTGTCTGGAAACTAGAAAATGCTTATTTTTGGCCCCTTTTTGGCCCCTAATTCCTTAACTGTTGGTACCATAACCCCCAAAATCAATCCCAACCTTCCTTTTGTGGTATTTAACCTTATGGTAAAATTTCAAAAAGATCCATTCACTTAAACTAAAGTTAGAGTGCGAAAACCAATGTGTATTCGGACGACGACGCTGGACGACGACGACGACGACGACGACGACGACGCCGGACGACGACGACGACGACGCCAACGTCATACCAATATACGACCACAAAATTTTTTTGCGGTCGTATAAAAACTATACCAAATGTCACAAAAGGGGTATCTGTGTGTAAAACAAAAACATAGTCTCAGCAAAATCATACTGGCTTAAAGCAGAAAAATATTTCAGAATGAATAATAATTTTATTATAAAAAACAATTAATCAATCTGCTTTTGGCCCTAGGGAAACACTCAGCATACAAGACAATTTTTGAGTTCCTGTCTGAGCAAGTCAGCTTGCAACCTCCAGTGTGAGGAAGAACCTGCCTGCCCGACAATACGCCAGCCGGGGAATGTGAAGCGAGGGTTCTCCACTTTGGTGATGAGACTAGGTGTCTCATCTGAGGCCGGGGAATGTGAAGCGAGGGTTCTCCACTTCGGTGATGAGACTAGGCGTCTCATCTGAGGCCGGGGAATGTGAAGCGAGGGTTCTCCACTTCGGTGATTAGACTAGGCGTCTCATCTGAGATCAAACTGGCGCTGGAAAAAATTTGATAAAATTTGTCCCCGAAATGCTTGGGGATGAATGAAATTTTAGAAATAACCAGTGATAAAATTCCATCAAGGAATTAAAATTAATTAAATAAAATATATATCACTAGTAAAAGCTGAAAAGTTTCCCTTGTCATGAAACATTATTGAAGGTGTTAGGAAGGTGGATGGTGGGCGGTAAATAAAATAATAGCACTGTAAAACTATATCAACTTATCAAGACTGCTATGAACCAAGAAAGTGATTATACAAAGACCATGCATATGGCTTTACACACAGATAGGGTACATCAATCATTCAGTGGGAGGAGTCTGGCCTCACTGACCTTTAGATAATATACTAATTGTTGTGTAATTAATTTTTGATAAGATCTGGTATCATAATCTGCATTTCCTCACCAACAGAAATTATTTATGACATGTATCTGATTAAGAAAGGATTAGTGTGCCTCCTAGTGAGATTCCAGTTGTAACTTCAAAGTGTCAAATGCCAGGGAAATTAACCTCAAGTTTATAACAAGTGGTCTGTGTATGTTAATTAAATGTATCCAGAATGTCAGCATCTTTATTATCACATTAATTATTAAGTGTAAGCTGGAATGGCTGTTTGTATAAACAGTACTTATATTACATATAAGTACAATACAAATGATAATAAATATTGACTAATTGTTGGGTTTTTTTTAAATTTTAATTTAAATTATTATGTCACGTTAAAATGCCAGATTTTGATTGGTTAATACAAGTGACACATTTTACTCTATCCCATGGCTTATATACTATTACCCATCACACAGACACTTGCTCATTTATGCACTTTTTTCAAATATGGATGGTTGTAATGTACATGTCATCATAGTTTATTACTATAAATTTAAAATTAAAAAGACAATAATAACAAAACATTCAGAATAATAGATTTTATAACACATACATGTAGCTGATAGGTTGATAGAGCAGGTTATTACCATTCGAAAGAACAATGACAACCTTGAACTTTAAAAATGTTTAAAACTATTGATGAATTAAAACCAAGCATTGGGAGGGGTCACATACATGTATATGCGCTTGACATGATTTTTTAAATCAGTACTCAGCTGTCATGAATAAAAGAGGTTCATGAAATAAAGCTGTATTTCAATTTTTGTAAGGAGTATTGCACATGTAGATATGTTATACATGTAGTATTCACTACCTTCGTGAATACCTTCAGTATACAAGTATCCAATTGTGAATTTGGCATCAAACCTCAAAAATGTCTTTTAAATGAGTCAACTGCATGAATGACTTGTTCTTTAACTCATAATCAAAACCTAGGGACTCATCATTATATATTCTATAGGTTTCCCTGTGTTATGTATGAGACGACATATGCAAAAACACATGATTCAAATATTTTTCAAACAGCCTCTTAAATTGGACAACTGGACTATGAGGAATTTCAGTCTGAAATTAAATGTACATTTATCTAAGGAGATGAAAATAATGTACTTGTATACTTACTTTCAATGTGTCAATAAAAGGAACAAAATTTCCTCTCTGTAAGCCATTTTTATATAAATCTACAATATAAAACAAAATTCAGTGAAAAATGTCTTCTAAAAGAATTTTCCATACCAAGCTATTGATAAAATTCATCAAATAACTTACTGACATAAGCTCTCATGCCTCACAACCATCCTCAGACTGGACACAGTAGTTGATTTCTCTTAAGGAATCTTATTCATTGTGTAAAGCTAAATTTTTTGATAGTACAATGGAATGTTTTGCAGGTGTCCTGTAGCAATGTAAAATGTCAACCTTATCCACAATACTCTCATTTTCTGCTGACAGTCAAAATTCCTGCATCCCAGTCCACCCACTTTACAGAACCTACCTTTTGATTTCATTTTGAATTTGTGTTTGTTTTGAATATGGATAAAATATTTGCCATTATAAAACATGGGGTGGAAGTTAATACAACAATCAATCAATCAGAATTTTTTGACAAAGAGAAAAATATGACTCGCCTGTGTTTAATTTTGATATTATTATGAAAATGTTAAATGAAAAGTTTCAAAAGTCAATTATTAAGAGTTAACGTATTGTATTTGAATATTGGCCTACATAACACAGGTTTTACTCTAGGTTTTACTGTCCTTACTTGAGTTTACCTAGCAGCATCTAATGGTAAAATGTTAGACTAGAGGCTCCAAAAAGCCTGTATCGCTCATCTTGCATTTTTGCATAAAATAGGAATAATCCAATAAAAATATTTCTGATAGTTTCAGGCAAAAGAGCATTCAAGGGCAATGGTTCCCATAGAGAGTAGACAATTTGGGCCATTAATCAAATTAGATATTGTCCTGATGATCGTTTTTGTTACTTTACAGTTTCTCTCTCTCTCTCTCTCTCCTCGGTAAAAAATTGTCTTTGAAGTGCAAAAACTCTTATAAGAATTCTACTGATGATTTCAGTCATGTTGATTTATTTGTAGAACTTGTCCTGATAATGATTGTTGCAGTGTACAGTTCTTTACCATCTCAAAGAGTTCCCACAAAAATTACAAATATATAATCAACAATTTCTGTTAAAAGGGAAATAACTCAATCACATTAGAAGTACCACTTTTGGATATTAAAAAGGGCGATAACTCAAGAAGGAGAAAAGCTAAAATCGTGAAAATTGAACTTGACCTTCATTTAGTCACTAGAAACAACATATCTAAATTTGAAAAAATTTGGTCATAGCGTTTTCATGTTATTAAATGGACACTGTTTGGCAGCCGTCCGCCTGCCCGCCTGCCCACCCGCTGTACATCCCCAAATCAATAATCGATTTTTCCTTCGAAAATCCGGTTAAAAATGGGTAAAATTCATCCTTCAAGAGTAATACCTCCTATAAGGAGTCAAATGATTTTGATGATGGTTACACATTTGTAGATCTTGTCCTGCTGATCGTTTTTGTCAATATAGTTTCATTTTATCTATTATAGTTTAAAATAAATGTGGATAGTGTCCACATGTGGACACAGATGATGCCCCCGCTTGCATATCATAAAGTTATAAAGGGACATAACTGAAGAACGGTAAAAGTGACGCTACCCTAATTTGAACTTGTTCTGAGTTTTGTGGTAATAAGCATTGTGTGTACCGGTAAGTCTCCTAACATTTGGTTGAGGCTAACTTAAGTAGATAACAGAAACTCAAAATTCAGCAATTTTTCTATTTGTAAACACGCATAACTCTAGAACGGTTGTGTATAAGTTTTATAACATTTGGTTGAGACAAACTAAAGTTAGAGAACGGAAACTAAAAATTCAGCAATTTTTATGTTTATAAAAGGACATTACTGAAGAATGGTAAAAGTGTCGCCACCAAATTTCGTACTTAATCTGTATTATGTAGTAATAAGCATTGTGTATAAGTTTCATAACATTTGGTTGAGGCAAACTAAAGTTAGAAAACGGAAACAAACAATTTGTACTTGATCTTAGTTTTGTGGTAATGAATATTGTGTGTAGGTTTCATAATGTTTGGTTGGGGCAAACTTAAGTTACAGAATGGAAACTAAAAATTTTGCAATCTTTCGATTTATAAAGGGGCATAACTCAATAATGGTTAAAGTGACACTATCCAAATTCAACTTGATCTGTGTTTTATCAGTGAAAGTCAAAATTAAACATTGCATTGTATAAAGCATTGATTGTAGTTGATTCAACTTTAATCATGGACAAAGGAAGATAACTCCAATTTTAAAAATAACTTGATATTTAGAAGAAAATGAAAATTTTGCAATTTTTCCATTTGTAAAGGGGCATAACTCTAGAACGGTTAAAGTGACGCCACCAAAATTCAAACTTGATCTGTGTTTTGTGGTAACAAGCATTGTGTATAAGTTTCATACTATTTGGTTGAGGCAAACTTAAGTTAGAGAACGGAAACTAAAAATTGTGCAATTTTTCCATTTGTAAAGGGGCATAACTCTAGAACGGTTAAAGTGACGCCACCAAAATTCAAACTTGATCTGTGTTTTGTGGTAACAAGCATTGTGTATAAGTTTCATACTATTTGGTTGAGGCAAACTTAAGTTAGAGAACGGAAACTAAAAATTTTGCAATTTTTCCATTTATAAAGGGGCATAACTCTAGAACGGTTAAAGTGACGCCACCAAAATTCAAACTTGATCTGTGTTTTGTGGTAATAAGCATTGTGTATAAGTTTCATAACATTTGGTTGAGGCAAACTCAAGTTAGAGAACGGAAACCAATTTTGGGACGTACGGACGGACGTACATACGTACGTACGTACAGACGGACAAGGGTAAAACTTAATGCCCCCACCGCTACGGCGGGGGCATAAAAAGGTCAACTCATGAAAACTGGTAAACATTGTTATTTTAAGGGTAATAAATTCTTCAATGAAAATTAATGTTTGATAGTTTACGTAAAAATTGATAGTAGGTTGAAATTGACATTATCACCATTTTTGACCAATCCTTTCATTTGTTTGTCTTTCTACAGATACTTAGAGTGGCCAAACTTTCATTATGAAAGATAGATGTATGATTGAATTATATCTTACCATCTGGAGGTCTGTTAGACGTGGCCACCACAACAACACCATGATTAAATAAAGATGTAAATAAAGTTTTCATTATAATTGAGTCTGCTATGTCAGTAACCTGAGAAATGAAAATTACATCAGAATTTGTCAATATTCAGTACATCTTGAACTGCAATTCATGTACTCCCTTAAATAGTACAAAGCCTGTACCAAGTTAGGCTATCTGGACTTAGTGACATGTGTAGTTCATGTTTGTTTGTTCTTTGTTTGCTCGTCTGGTTTATCAGAGGCGTTGGGTGCTGGTGGTTGATGTGGTCTGTTGTACTGTCAAGTATTTTTGGTGATTCATGTTGTCCTTTTCATGTACCGGTATTATGCAGATCAAAGTCAGGAGCTACATCATAGGTTGTGTATGTTTTTGTTTTTGTCCTTTGAGGAATTTCCTATTGATGGAACATTTTTGGTAGTTCTTACTAAAACTTATACAAGACTTGTTGACTTTCAGGATGACATATATATATATATGGCAGTCAGCAGGGTTTTAAGAACATTTGTTGTTCGACCTGTTAGTCAAATGCGTTTTGTTAAAATATACTTGGTCTTTTGAAAAATGTTGTTTGTGCTGTATTTGACCCCTCCACTAAGAAATTTGTTTTGCATGCACCTGTATAAAAATTGCGGTTTTTATCCAACGCAATCATAGGTTTGAACATTGTTTTCAATTTAGACTTGTATATATATATATATGGTATCAATATCTTGCTGTAGTTTTAAGACATTATGTTGACCTTAAGTTGTTGTTATGGTTATATTGTGTTGTTTGGTTGCTGTCTAATAAGCATATTCCACTTATTTCTTTTTCAAGTTTACTTTAAAAGTACAATAAGTTGTGTCTTTATATAAACTTAGCTTTCCATTTATAGGTCCAATCAATGTAACATAAACATGATAAAAGTAACTTTGAATATTCTATTCTTTAAATGTAAAGAGTTATAGTAAATTTGGTAGCTACCTGAAATTCATCAAAACACAACAACCAAGCTTCTTCACTAATTTCCTTGGCAACTGGAGTTATTGGATCAAATGACTGGGTTTTCTTTACATTATATTGACGAGGTATGGTTTGCTTTATTGCATGGATGCCTGAAATACAGTGTGCACTTTAAAAAGAAAAGTTACTTCAACCGATGAGCAGCATTGGTAACTTCTGTTACAGAATCTCCACCAAACAAAGCCTATGATGTACAAAACAGCATTGGTAACTTCCTTTACAGAAGCTCCACCAAACAAAGCCTATGATGTACAGTCTTCTTGAGTGACTGACTTTAACTTTTAATATAATTTCCTTCATACACCAATTTGACACGTCACAAAATCCTTTATGTAATAGAACTTTTGATGCTGCCTTATAAAATCTTTTTGAGAAGTTATAATTGTAGTTATTTTTATCTTTTCAATTTTGAAAAGGAATTTCCTGAATAATAGTGATGTCTATTTTTAACTGTGATCATGGTGATAGAAATTTAAAATGATGTTTTACACTTTCTTCATGTCTTTTATACATCTCTTATTAATTGATTATATACTTTGATTCAGAATCTTGTCCTATCTTAAAATCACAAGTGGTGACATTCAGTCAGATTGGCTGACTAAAAGATCAATTGAATGCACACCAACTTTCCTTATGTTTATGTACGTCTAACATGAACTCATGGAAATGAAATCTTCATTTCTTCTTCACTTTACTTACGTCTAACATGAACCTATGGAAATGAACCCTTCTTTTCTTCTTCGCTGTGCTTTAATACGTTTATGTATGTACATGAACTTATGGAAATTAACCCTTCTTTTCTTCTTTGCTGTACTTACGTTTATGTACGTCTAACATGAACTTATGGAAATGAACCCTTCTTTTCTTCTTCGCTGTACTTACGTTTATGTACGTCTAACATGAACTTATGGAAATGAACCCTTCTTTTCTTCTTAGCTGTACTTACGTTTATGTACGTCTAACATGAACTTATGGAAATGAACCCTTCTTTTCTTCTTCACTTTACAATGTTGATGGAACATATCCATTAACATAGTTTTTCCACAACCTGTTATAAAAGAAAATTAATTCAATCTATTATATGCCTTCACAGAAGTTATCAGACACAGAATTCTATTTCTATTTCACTGACATTTTAAATGCATGCTTCTAGATGTCTTTTAGATTTTTAGTATTGTTCGATGGTGTCTTATTGATGTATACCCCACATTCCCTTCTATTCATTTCTAATGCCTGAAATGACAGTATTCTCAAATGGGCTGAATAGAAGAGTTGTAATTGAAGCAGTAGTTTTAAGAATTAACCTGTTACTTCAAAATGGATGCCTACAGAAAAAGGAATCAAAGTGCATTGTTGAAAATAAATGAATACAGGTGTTGCATGAAATGCTTACCCTTTAACACACAATACCAAGTTTTCATTGGGGTTCCATTGACTCCTATTCAGTTTATATTTGTGGACTATTTTCTGTATTTGTGTCTTTTTTCTTTTGGTTTAGGTTTTGTCTGTCCATCTTTTGTCTAAGAATTTTTTATTTCCGCTTACTGGTAGTATCTTCTTATTTCTTAGAGAATCCTATATATAAAATTAATTACACTAATTTGCTGTTTTTGATAAAACTAATAGCATCATAAAATCATGTAACAGTAATTCTTAAATTTTTTCATGCCTCCTTGTTTTCTGAGCAATTCTGTGTCATGGCCAAACAAAAGCCTTATATTTGAAAGATTTTCTTCTTTTGGGGACCTGAGACTACTAACGTTTTTAAAATCCACCATCAAGGTTTAAGTTAAAAAGGGGAGTCCTTAGATGGAAATCAGATGTTGCAAGTTTAAATGAATTATGACTGAACAAAATATACAATCCATATGGAATAATGCAATATATAGGTCTGAATAATGATTTGTACCAGTAGGTCCATAGTAAAGAGTCTAATGTTTCAAAGATTAAAAGCTTATTTAAAAAAGTATGGACTGTTCAAGAAAAAGAAAATATAATTCTGGTTGTTAATAGTTCAGTTCTGAGATTGAATTCTAAGACTGATACCGATAACATATACAGTAATTGAACATAACTTCAAAAACTTACCAACATGTCCATACAAATAAAGTCCTTTAGGCCCTTTCAGTTCCTGCTTTTTAATTATACCTAACTGTCAAAATAGAAAATCAAAAATATTAAAGTTGGCTCAATGTAATTAAGTCAATAGCTTAATTTGATCTGTAAAATATGATTTATCTAACATATTCTATGAAACTGGACCTTCTATATTCTATGAAAGAATACAAATTTAATTCACCTGGACCATAGGACCACCAAATTATACCAAACTAACATATATAGAAGGCCTTTTATAAAATTACACATTTCTTCCGTTTCAATTGAAAACATGTAGCCAGACGAAAAATAAGGTTTTGATTGGTCAATTTTCATTTTTTTTTCTAGAAAACTACTAAGCCACATCTGTAAAAATTACACAGGAATGATGATGTGAGACCATGTGGTATACATTGGACATGAGGCATTTTACTTAAGAATTACCCCTTGTACACTTTTTTTCTAAATTTCTTGTTATTTTTCAAATAAATAGGTATACAGTATGAAATAGAAATAAGAAGATGTGGTATGAGTGCCAATGACACAACTCTCCATCCAAGTCACAATGTGCAAAAAGTAAACAATTGTACGTCAAAGTACGGCCTTCAACACGCAGCCTTGGCTCACACCAAACAGCCAGCTATAAAGGGCCCCAAAAAGACTAGTATAAAACAATTCAAACAGGAAAACCAATGGTCTAATTTATATAAAAAACGAGAAACGAGAAACACTTATGAACCACATCAACAAACGACAACCACTGAACAACAGGTTCCGGACTTAGGACAGGTGCAAACAAATGCAGCTGGAAGTCATTTATATAAATACCTTATTTCATTTCAATCAGTTTTTCGATTGTACGACATAACCACCCAATCAATATGATTCGATATGAAAATGAAGTCAATGTCAGATGAATCCTGCCAGTTGGATGTGTAAACATACAATCATTCTATACACCAAATATAGTTAAGCTTTTGCTTTATTAAATCTGAGAAACCAATTAAGAACAAAAACTTAATGTTGATCACAAAATCATGAAATGAGGTCAAGGTCAGGTGCACTGTCTGATGGACATATACATCTCCTTACCTTACATTTACAATGATTCTATATATCAAATACATTTGTCATATCAATTACTAATAGAAACAGAAAAAATCAGGTGATAAAAAAAAAACAGTTTTCTTTAGCAATCACTGTACCAGGAAAATGAGGACAAGGACAACAGACTTATGCCAGACAGAAACTTCAGATCATACGGCATCTCTAACCTCTATCCTCTGACAATACTTATGTCATTCAATTTTACTTCATTTTACTACATGTATAATGAAATAATTACCTTACTAAACAAGCCTTCTGATGGTGGTGAGTAATTTTCCAGAGTCTTATGGAGCTGGTCTAGTCTCTCCACTATACTTTGCTGATATTCGTCATATCTCAGTTGTCCTGAGTCCACAATTGATTTGTAAACTGTTAGAGGACTATCACAATTTATAGTTGTTTCAAATGATGATCTTCCTTTTTGATGACTTACTGAAGTAACACTAGATGTTCCTGTAAATTATAGGACAGTATCTCATTATTGCAACACTTTTAGCATGTTTAGTTTGTTAATTCTGCCACAGGACTTAACTACAAATGTACATGAACTTGAGTGATGAGTGATACATGCAGCAATTATCAAATAAGGTATAAACCAGGTCTTTTCCTGACCCATTTCAGAATTGCCATTCAGACCAAATTGGAAATTCACCTATGAAATATCTGATGTCAATTTATTACTAGATACATGTGAACATGTATTTCTCTGATTATTAGCTTTGATAGTTAATAACTTGTGAAATATGGTGACTGAGATGTGTATTGACAACACATTATGTCATTTGATTGTTCTGATAGGGGATTGTGTCTTTTTTTTATGGGACATGCTAGGTGTAATACAATAAAAGAACAGAGTTCTAATGTCCCCCGCGTTGCACATATTTTATCTATCCAGGGGCAATAACTAAACGAGGCCATTTTCCATAAATTTAATATTTCCAAGGGGCATAACTCTTTGTAAAAAAGACGATCAGCCACCATTATAAAACTTTTCCGAGATATTGCTGATATTAACCTATAGTATAAGTTTTATAAAAATCTGGCAAGAATTGTAGCTGTGAGAGCGCTAACAAGACCGGACGGACGGACCCATTATTTCCATGTCCCCCGTAACGCGTTTTGCGGGGGACAATTAAACATATGACCATACAGTAGTCATGGTAGTATGTTATATTAAACAACTCAAATTTGTTTCTGCATAATCATTGATGGCAGTTGTTTTAAATCCATTTAAGCACTGCTAATAAGCCTAGTGACATGTTTATTTCCTCTTTTCAAAGAATGCATAAATTACAAATATCTTAGAGAAATGAAGGCTTAAGAGGAAATACCAATTTCCAGTATAAAGAATTTTTCCAAGGGGCATTACTCCCTTAAAAATATTTGATCAGCACTGATTTTGGAACTTGTCTGAGACATTGTTGACATAAACCTATGATATAAGTTTCATAAAAATCTGGAAAGAATTGTACACATGAGAGCACTAACAATGAAAATTTCCATATAAATAATATTTCCAAGGGGCATAACTCTTAAAAATAGTTGATCGGCACTGATTTCAAACTTGTCTGAGACATTGCTGATATAAACCTATGATAAAAGTTTCATAAAAATATGGCTAGAATTGTACACATGAGAGCGCTAACAATGAAATTTTCCATATAATCAATATTTCCAACGGGCATAACTTTTAAAGAAATAGTTGATCAGGACTGATTTTTGAACTTGTCCGGGATATTGCTAATATAAACCTATGATATAAGTTTTATAAAAATCAGGCGAGAATTGTACATGTGAGAGTGCTAACAAGATCGGACTGAAGGATGGATGGATTGACTCCTGTTATTTCTGTCCCCGGCAACTCATCACGTGGGGGACAATTAACCTGGGTACTCTCCTCATGCCTCTTAGCACAAAGATGGCCAATTAGACCACACAGGACAATGCTTTGATTTCCTGATACAGACATGATATGAATTGTATATGTGCTTAACCATACCTCTAATGATCCTTATGACAATGTGAGATGTTTTCTGATTTGTGCGAGGTCAACACACAGCATGCATTAAGACAATAATAAAAAAATGTACCATTTCCTAGTCAATTTTTTTCTAATCTGATTTTGAAAGAGAGTTTTATTGATAATCGTAATTCCTTCTATCAGTACTTACCAGATATGTGCATTTCGCCCAACATGTCTGTGCAGATTTTTCTTGATTGTGTGAGGCTTTTAATTGCACAAATTGTTTAAATATATTTAATTTCTTCTGTTTATTCACATAGTAAAATGAATCTTTAATGCCAATTCAACGTACAATTTCATAGGATAGGAAACAAAATAGGTTTTCAGGAAAAATTCTCTTGATAAATAATGGAAAATAGTGTAAATGCATCTTGAATACCTCCACTCCAACATCTTTAACTTTGTCATTTTGAAGTATATGACTTTTTTTTTATTACCGGTAGATAATACTTTGTTAACTTGAAAACATTACTTGAAAGTTGAAGAACCTGTTCTTTTAAGTTTAAAATTCTACATTGATAGTGATGTCATAAATATAATGGCTAATGCATGATCAGAATTGGTGACATTTCCATATTTAAACTAACTTTTTCAACAGAATATTATGTGACAAATTTGAAAATTTTGGTAAACCAGGTTATTTATTGTTTGAGGCTAATAATGAAGCCAATTACATAGGTAAATTCGTTTCTTATTATATCATGTATATTGATTAACTGATTATTTCTAGATGATTTTTACAATAATGTAAAAAAAAATATACTGACAGCCTTAGTAGTCATGGTAGTACAAAAAATGTACTAAGATTCAAAATTATTTTATTAATTCAATTTTGAAAATATCAATAATGCTATTAATGTCACATTGCAGAGGTTCTTAGCGAGGTGTCAAAACAGTGCTTCATTCAATGCAGAAGTATGTCAGACGGATGTTGTCTGTCAGAGGGATGTTGTCTGACAGAGGGATGTTGTCTGACATTTGTGAAATGTGTATTATAGTTTGCATGTAACCTTAATTCAAATACATGTATATCATTATTTATACCTTAATATCACATATCAAATGTGAAAAGTTTTCAATGTAAAATGAATTTATGTAGTGTCTTAAAAAAAAATTCTGGATTTCTTCACTGTTCATGATTTCAACAAATTGTTCATCTAAGTTCATACAGTTAAAAGTTTTCAATATATTTGGAACATTGAAGCAGTAAGTCATATCTCAAATCTCCCTACCCTCTGAAGTTTAAAATAATTTTTGTTCTAAGTATATGTAAGAGAATGATAATCCCTTTCTTTATGATTAAGTACGAGCGTTAGCGAGTACTTATCATGAAGTAAGGGATTATCATTCTCTTACAAACTTAGAATATTGTAAAGTGCTCAAGGCTCAAATGATCTATTCAAGAATTGGTTTCATTGTCAGTGCAATGTTTATAATTGACGCATGACTTCCTTTTTGGGCATGTCATTTATGGATTAGTTATAGTGATGTAAGGACTTTCATATCATTTGGGAAATATTTTTAAAAAAAAAGCGTTTTAGATATTAGGTGACACAACAGAAAGAAAGAAAGTTAGGAATTGGATATGTTTCTTGATTGTGAGTATGCATGTAAATCATGTAATATTTTAGTGAGGAATTATCCTTTTTTTATTTACAGTTTAAATCAATTAATACATATGAGTTACAACTAAATTTTATTTTACAGCCAATATTTTGGACCGGCTTTTTACATCAAATAATATTTCATTATTTCAGGGAAATGTTCAAAAATAATGCCTTTAAAAGTTTTTAATATGTTCAAAATTAAATTCCTGTTTTTTTTTATCGGAATAACTATTATTCCCAATCACTGATCAAGTAATCAAAGTTTTGGAAAGCTAAAGATTTAGGTTATTTTTTTATCTGAAAGATTTTTTTCTTTTTTTGCTTTGCTTTGGTATTGTTTAATTTTTTTAGTAATTTGAAGTTATCAATATTTTCATAATAACATTCACGGTACAAATTTTACTGCACCAGTAAACATCAACTTATTTTGAGATTTTTGTTTGTTTCACAATTCAACTTTTAGTCAGTTTCAATCACTGTGTGATAAATCCTTCCAATCTGAAAAATGTGCTTCGGGGCAGTTGTAACTTATTTATAGAAACTCTTTGTTTTGAACTGTAAATAGACCCAAATAATAGGATAATCCCTTACTAAGAACATGATTTACATTCATTCTTCACAATTAAGAGGCATCCAATCCTACAATTTCGTTGGTCGAGAGCACTTTGCTATATTCTAAGTCTAAGATTTAGCTATGTTTTCATACCATTTACTATCTGTTATTACCACTTAAACATCTGTAAATGTTTCCTTTTAATGGGAACCTTTGGTTAATTAAATTTTGCACAAGAAACTATTCAGTTAATTTAGTGAGTAAATTAATGAACATTTCATTGACAGTTATATAATGACAATCAATCATTCTGGGATTTGTTCTGTGCCATTTTTTTTTTCTAATACTTTTTTAAAATCTTAGACATTAAAAACAACTATGAAAAATAAAACTCACTGTTGTGAGACAGACATTTATTGTTAATAACAATGGGCACGATTACTGACAAATGTAATCGATTATTAATCGATTACTTGAAGGTTTTTTGTGTATTCGATTAATAATCGATTACTCTGATTTTTGTATGTAATCGATTACAATCGATTACTTAATCAAAAGTAATTACATTACTTTTCGATTACTGTCAATTACATGCTTCAAAATTACAAAAAAATAATAAAGTAAGATAAACAAAAATATTTTGTTCAACATATGTATAGTGGAAATTTAGAACTTTACATAAACAGCATTTAAAGCATTGTTTTCAAATTTTAAGTTGACAGTTGTTTTCTAGATGGAAGCTCTTACTGAGGATCCGAAATATTCAAACATTCTTGAAATTCTGGTTTTCAACATGAGTGAGTGGTGATAAAGTTCTTGCAATGACACCACATGGCTTCAGTCACTTCTTTATATTTTAGGTTATTATCCATATTTCTCTATATTTTGATAATTTTTGCTGTCATACTGACATAAGTTAGGTATTTTGTATTTATTCATTTTAAACTTTATTTGAATTTAGTACATTACAATGTTGGAAGTTTCCTCTGAAAAAAAATGTAAAAAAGAAGAATAATTAACTAGTTCAAATAATTTCAAAGATGTAAATTTATAATATTTATAACTGATACATGCATGAATTAATCCTTTTGTTTGGATAACCTCCCTAATTACAGGTTATAAAACTGGGAATACAGTACATTTTATAACCTGGGGCAATATAATGTAAATCTCCTCTCAATTAGACATAATTGAAATCAAAACAAAGTTGGCACCTCATTGATTGGAAGTCCTTGATCATCTGATTAGTAAACACAAGAAGTTTGTTGGGAATTTTTTATGCTCTATTCAAAATTATAAACAATATATATTTTTAGTGTCAAAATGGGATACATGTATCTATTTCTGAAATAAAAAGAATTTCAATGCATAGCTATTGGTACATTGTCAAAAGGGTTTGGGTACTTTCTAATTTTTTATATCATAATATTATAACGAATCAACTTTATATCGATTCTAGCTTAAATTCCAAATCTTGAAAATTACTCTTCAATGTCAATGTAGTACAGAACTTATAATAAGACTCATTTCTTATTTAAATTTAATCTATTTTCTTATTTCAAAATAAAAGGTCTTTAAATTATTGACAAGCATTGAAGACAGTAAAGTAAATTGTTTCAAAAGCTGGATATACAGTAAAATTTGGTAGGAGATCTGGTTGATCATAATGCAGCTTGAGACAATAGATACAAGTAAGGAATTTCATAAACTCTGAAGTCTTATTGATACATCCTATTTTATCTGTACTATTAAGTGATGAATACATACATATTTTCATTTAAAATAGGTTATATTTCATCAAACTATTTCACTAAAGTAATCGAAATGTAATCGAAAAGTAATCGATGATTACATCCTAATTTTTGCTGTAATCGATTAAATTACGATTACATGTAATCGAAAATGTCTTCGATTACAGATTACTGTCGATTACTGGAAAAAATGTAATCAATTACAATCGATTACGATTACAGATTACGATTACCCCATCCCATTTGTTATAATAATTTATTTCTGTTATCATGATTATTGGATAAACATAAGCTGTTTTGAAGTTTGAATTAAACTCAATAAAACTGATTTACCTAGTTAAATACAAGGAATGGATAAAACTTGATTTTCACATGTTTAGAGACAATTTTGATAATAAAGACAGTAAATTAAATATTTCATTGTTATCAATTAGACAACACATTTTATTCCTATGTCTACTTATAGTAAATCCAACTTCTGATGTTAGTTTGCATTTTAATAATAATGTTAAATCATTACTAACTAACACTAGAATAGGGAGTATTTAATGTAGTGACAAATTTTGAATGAATTGAATTAGATTTTAATGAAATTGATCAATTACAATTTGAATACAATAGACGATATCAATTTTCACAAACAAATTTATATCAAATGGTTATGGCGTGAACAAATACAAACAATAAAAAAGACCATTGTGTAATTATATGGGAGTCATATGAGAATTATATAAACCTTTTAAACTTATAAAAAATTCACTCAAAAAAACTTTTAAACATATTGTGAAGGAAAAGTATAATAACATCACTCTTGAAAAACTTTCAAATATTGATAACAGTTCAAAACTTTAATCTTTATAGTAAACTTAAAAATGAAATTAAATTGGAGGACTACTTGCACAATCTAAACAATTTTAATAGTCGTCAACTTTTAACAAAATTACGTGTAAGTGATCATAATTCGGAAATTGAATTAGGACGTTATAAAAAAATTCAAAGAGAACACAGACTGTGCAAAGTTTGTAAAATTTATCTTTTTTTTTCAAGCTGTTTTATAATTGCAGTCGAACATCGTTATGTCATGTATGTTTAAGTCGAAGGGACCGGACCAAAGTATTCGACTTATCCAAGGTTCGACTCATCTTAGGTCGAGTGTGTCGTCTTAAATTTGGAATACATGAAATACAGTATGAGATTTGTGTAAACCAGATACTTTGAATAGTATGCCTTTTCGATATGACACTTTATGATTGTGTATTCAATCTCCATATGTTTTGGTCCTTCATAATAATTAAACACACAAGTACCGATAAAAATCATGCACAAATAAAATCAATAGTATACACAAATATTTATAAAGGTCAGTCACTATAAATTATGAAATCACTTGCGGAACGAAACAAGTTCTGAACGGTCTCTGATGAGGTCGTCTGCTTAACATTAAATTATTATGAATTTATCATAATTGTCTTACTCCTTTTATTTATTGTAATAAATGAATTTCAATTCTAACGATTCATTTAATCTCGGCTTGGATCATTTAAATACGTTTCGATTTTATGTCAGGTGAAATATGTTCAACACACTTACGTTCCGCTTGGACGAACAACACGGGTGTTAATTACTGGTCACCATCAACATGTCATTTTAACTGTTATACAAACAAGTATGTTTACTCAGCTTTAATCTCTTTTGAAAATGATTAGGTTACATAAGAAAAACATCTGATTTGAATTGTTTTCATTAGGTCTGCATCTTTCGAAAATTCTTACTTCAGTGTACTTTCAAACTTCAAGACATCGGGGTCAATTTACATTTATTTTACATTGACAGGATTATAAAATTTACTCAACTTAAGGTTCATCATAACAAATGGACAAAAATGGCTGTATTTCCACATCAAAAACTACTCTGAGTACAGACTTACCTGTCCAGTTGGAAAAGTTTTAATGCCTGGCATCCACTAGATATATAAAAGTAAAATGCATTTTGTGTTTCAGAAAGTTAAAATCTTTTTTGGATTATGATGGCCATTTTTTTTTCTGCAGGTGTAAAAATAAACTAAGTTGGGATAAAACTTTGAGATGCTCCCTCTCAGGTAAAAACTGTATTGTATTGTATTGATTGTCCTTGATTGACACAGACAATAGGTATCTACACAACTATAGGTGAGTTAAAGGGTTTAACTGAGTGGACAGTATCAAAGTAATTCAGGTGTTTGTTTATTTTTACACCTGCTGCAGAAAGGAAAAAAAATGCCCATCAAAATCCAAAAGTGATTATATCTTTCTGAAACAAAAATTGCATTTAACTTTTATATATCTAGTGGATGCCAGGCCTTAAAACTTTCCAAACTGGACAGGTAGGTCTGTACACAGAGTAGTTTTTGAGGTGTAAATACAGCCATTTTTGTCCATTTGTTATGATGAACCTTAACCAAGTATTCAAATCAACCGAGTTCGACTCATCAGAGTTAATTATGCACTGATCAAGGGGAATTTTACCCTGATGGAGAAATTACGACGACTCATCCGAGTTTTCGACACAACTAAGTTCGACGCAGGTTGGACTGTATCAATACATGTAAGTGTCTAAATATTTTTTAATCAAAACATTTATTCTTTCCTACAATTCGTCAAGAGCCTACAATAACAAAGGATTAAAAAAAAAGGTCTCAGTTTACAAAACATCCTGCACCCTGTTGGTAGATTGAACAACATGTTATGTAAAACAAGCTACTAAGATATCATTCAATTCCACTCATTTTTGTCACAAAATTGAATGAAACTTTCCACAGTTTAACAATTACCTGCACTATACGAACAAGAACATTGATACTTATTAAAGAAATTGCGAAAATGTTTCCAATTACGATTGTAATAAACACTATTTTTCATTTTCCCCGTCGACTTTCAGCCAAAGTCAGCAGTGACATGTGTACTTCTCACTACGTCATTCTTATTTGTGTACAAAATAATTTGCAAAAAAAAACGGGACATGATATGAATTCCGAATTAAGTTAAAATTTTGCAATTTTCAAAATATAATAAAATGCTTGTTTTCAAGTGTACTTGGTGTTAACTATATACAGAACGTGGACCTGAAAAAACCTGAATAAACCTGAAGATACTACAATTTGATTTATTAAAGTGTCACAAAAAACAAAACAAAAAACAATGGGAAAAACGGTACTTCAGATCAAATAATTTCTTTTCTAAGAAGCTATTTGAAAATTGTTGTATTTAATTTTATGGATTTATTGAGAAAAATATTTTCTGTTTTCGACATTTCTAATTATTTTAAGATTCAAATCTGGTAATTATCATAATATTGATAATGCATTAAACATTTCTGCACTTCATTTCTTTGCTAAATTCGGTCCATAAATACACCGTCAGTGAAATTATGTCTAAATCCGATTATTGTGGATTCATAGGTGTACGATTACGTGATGCATTGCCCTCCGATCACCCGTGAATCTGTTATTATTGGTTGGGTTTTTTCAAGACTTAATTTCACCGATTCTGATTAAAAACAATTTGTATTATAAGTATAGCATATAGTAAAATTCTCTGCTGAACTGTAGACTTTTAATTTTTTGTTTCATAGACTACCGGAGTACTGCAACATTCTTATCTTTACTCTTTACTATCGGGAAGTGAACCTCGAGTTTGAAATTAGACAGATTTGAAAATGTGCATAAGTTCTATCTGATCTTTTGTTGGTTTGTGTTGCTCAAGGTAATTTTCGGTGCAGTGCTATGCGGGCTGTTATTTTCTTTTCTTTTGTTATTTTTTTCCACTGTGTTACACGACCTTGTCATTTTTGTATTGCCCCTTGACATCTTCTGCTTCTGTTTGCTTATTTTAAGCTATTTTTTGGTCATTCTAAAAATTTAAAATAAACCTTAACCACTAATTTATATCTCTTTTGGTTTGTTTTTATAGGATGGTGTCTCATTCCCTGAATTTGTTATACAGGGATTCATTTTAATATCAGTTTTTGTATAAGCAAATCATGAAACTGCTAGGGCTCTTTACACAACTTATTTTTAGGACGGAATGCACCAATAGGTATACATACATGTATCAAGTCACTGATATATAAATATACATAATGTGCTTTTGAACTACACAAGAATTCTTAAACAAACATAGATGTGTTAAGAATATTTTTGTTGTTGGGTTGTTGTCTCAATGACATATACACCATATCTCCTTTTATTCATAGCATCTGTATCTTTTCAATGTACTGCAGAAAATATCTGCATACACATTTTTCAAAACACAAGAGGTGATTTAGTGATCACATAATGAGGACATGTAAAACTGAAACAACACAACAGATAAATACAAACAATCACCATTGTATAAAAAGGACTGAAACAAACATAGATGATGACCAATATGAACCCATAAAGACTAGTGTACCAGGCCAGTAGAGTGAACATTTCTTGCTTCTTATTCAACATCTTTTGTCATTTCATGCCACGGTAAGCAATTAAATATGATTCTTTCCATATACATGTAGAGGAAGGACTTTATGAATCGAAATATTTTGCTTTTTAGTACTGTCAAGTTATATGATCACAGGGGTGTTGTGGCTCTGATACACCAACTAAAGTTGATCTACTAAAACTATGTAAAAAGAAACGAACCGCAAAAACTTAACAACGAACCATGAAATAAAAATGAGATCGATCTTGGTAGGCTGAAACCAGCCAGAAGGCTATCAGTATGTACGTCAATTATAAATGAAGGCGGCCTTGTTTATAGTAATTGAAAACGGCCGGACCCAATCACGAAAGCTGAACCACTGTTCCATGAAAAGAGTTCCAAAGTTAGGCGAATCTTGTTTCTGAATGATAGATCACATAATGTCAGAAAGTAATATTTGGCCATATCGAAGAAGCCAGTCTGAGATAAATTTTCAAAAAATTGTTGACACAGTCACAGATATGTCTCTTTGGCACGACATATTTAATAAAGTCTAAGGGGACAGCAATTGTTATCGACACATGTTCAAAAATAACCCTTAGGCATTTTCTTATGTGTTGCTGATTTGCTTCTAACTTTCAAGTGTCGCCACACGAGGCATGAAGTTAAACGTCCTCATTCAGTAGACATGTCATGGCTATTAAAGCACAGCAAATTGGACGGGACGTCTACTCATACTACCGACCGTGCAAGGGCTGTATAGCCAGTCAAGGTCGTTAAAAACTTCCATTTGTTGTCTACTCATATGAGTATTAAAACAGCATATATTCTAAGGACCAACTTTTTGCTAAATGTTGTACCTCCATGACAATCAAATTGAGAATGGAAACGGGGAATGCGTCAAAGAGACAACCATTTAATTGATTCTTGTTCAGACTTCTGAACTTATTAAATTTTTTGTCAAAATTTTCTCAACGGACAGTTCCAACTTTGTGTAATCAACTCTTCCTGCAATTTTAGTCAACTCAGATAATGAAACTTCACATAATGTTCGCACATCTCAATATGGATTTTTTTTTTCAAATTACCGGTAAAAGTTACTCAGTTGTGTAAGAAACAATCTGCATTTTTTTTAGTCTTTGTAAAATGTTTTATGATTGCCAATGAAATCACTACCAACTAGAGTCAAAATACTGTGAATGTAAGCAGTTATAGGTCACCGTACGGCTTTCAACAATGAGCAAAATATATACCCTAAACGTATCATCGGCCTGATTTTTATTGCACCAAGCCGTGTTTCTCCCCAGTCTGTTTTAGTGCTGCATCATTAGCGTATCGCACTTCCACGCTGCATGTTCTATTGGACAGACCGCAGCGCCATCCAATCACATTGCGGCGCTGTGCTGTCCTGCAAAATTTCGCTCATATGATCACCTGGTTGATTTTTCTATATTGTTTACTTTACCTCGGAGAGGAACCATTTCAATGAAAGAAAACAAAATGCTGTTCTTGACATAACTTTAAGTAAACAAATATTTTTTCCTCGATTCTTTTTTACTTAGATTTTTTTTAAATACAGAAATTTCATGAAAGGACAAAATAAAGTCGGTGGAAAGTACGCAAAAATTCATTTCCAATCATTTTTAAGATAAGTTTAACTCTTCCTCTAACCAGGTGTTATTGTCCCTATTTATTGCAGCAAACTCTGATTTGTAAGACATTCTCGGGCTAGCAGGTCAGTTTTGATGGGCTAGCAGTTCTTCCAACAGGGCTAGTAAAATCCTGCTGCAAATAAGTCCTGGGCTATTAACCGATAACAAAATTTTTTAACCCCTGATAACCTTTTTATCTTCAAGAGACGGACCAGATAAGCTAAGGTCAGACTTATTCAAACTTCAATCACTTTTTCTTCAATATTAGATTTTGTTAAATAAGAAGTTTAACATTTTCTGAAAATTGAAAAAAACAAATGTGAAAAATATTTTTTGGGCACCAAAACAATTAAAAGATTTAAAATTGAAAAGTTTATTTAGGCCAAATTAATGATGATCCAATATTATCACCTAATACAAGGTGAGAATTACAGCCCGGAGGGAGCAGACGATCGTTCTCCAAACGACAAACACACGTCTTCAGGTGCAAATGATTTTTTTTCAGTATCTATATAAAATTTGTTTTTCTTCTCTATATATACAGAGACATATAATACATGTATTATATGTCTCTGATATATATATAAATACAATTCAAACGAGTTGTTTAAGTTTGAATATGAAGAATAGCCTGATTGATTGATTATTGGTTGCTTAACGTCCAGTGGCAAATATTTCATGCATGTTTAGGACGAATATGATAGAGATCAATTGGAAGAAGAATAAAAAATCGAGTGAAATGGTAAAAAATTAAAAGAATTTTGGTTTCATGGTGTAAAAATTGTATAATCATGTAATTGAATTGACATGAAAAAAAGAAAAAAGGATGTCTATTAAATTATCCACTAAAACGGTTTATTTCCTCTATGTACTCCGCTAGTAATAATTGAATAATATTTTCTGCATTTGACATATTGATTGTTAATAAATTGTCTAAATCTGTTGGAATTTGACCTGTTATGAAGTAAATTTGAAGAAATAATTTGTCTCTAGCATCAGAATAAAGATCACATTCAAAAAGGTAGTGTTGTACATCTTCTTTTTGTTTGCAGTGATCACAGGTTTCAGAGTTGATGTGTTGGTTTATTATAAACTGGTATGCATTTAGTTTGGAATAACCTGTTCGTATACTGTTGATTATGTTGTACATTCTTTTTGATGGGAAGTCTTTAATTTTTTACTTAATTTTTAACTTCAGGATGAAATCTAAAATAATGACGTCCATAATTGCTGTCAGTTTCCCATCTGCGTTGCCATTGTTTTGTACCCGAATTTCTAGCTGCCTTTTTTACATCCTGTTTCAGTGTAAATGTTATGTCGTTCATGGTTTGATGATAGTTTTCACTTTTCCAATTAAGAGTTAATATTCCTAATGCTGTTTGACTGTCCGAAAAAATAGATAAAGTTTCATTTGGAGTTTTTGAAAAAGAATCTATGAAATCAAGTACAATTTTTATTGCTATAAGTTCAGCCAGCAAGATTGATCCTTTGTTAGATACAAGTCTTTTAAATTTTCTTCTTGAATATCTATGTAAATTATAGCTCCATCACCACATGGGCCTGGATTTCCCAAACATGACCCATCTGTAAAAACGACTGTTGTGTTTGGTGTTTGAGATTTGAGTTGTTCAGAGATAATTTGTTTTCCTTCTTCTATTTTGGCTGTTGTTCTGGATTTTGAGCTGCCTATATTTCGCATGAACGTATGTAAATACAAGCAGATTCCAATTTAAATATGATTGGTAATCAGTCTACTGAGTGTATGTGCTCCAATGTTGGAGGGATCTACAAAAAGAAGAAGTGGTTAGCTCCCTTAATATTGCAAAATACGTCATTAGTATTTGTGAAGTAGGAGTACCTGTGGTACACAATGACCACTACACAATCAGCAACAGCTCGAATTCAGCCAAAGAAACAAACTTTAGAAGATGCCTATTCACCCCCTGCCAATTTCTTAGAGATAGATATTGCTGATCCTCAAACTCATGGGGTCGGGAAAAAACGATACACAGACTATGAAGTTAGAATGACGGTAAACCAACGCTCCGGAAGCAAAAGTCTTTATATATTGTGGAATATAATTTTCATTTGTATTCCAGTAAATGACAAGCGTTCAAAGTTTCTGAACAAATATCTGCTGATCATATTTAAAATCGTCATGAAAACTATTAAATTTCCTGTGTTGTAAAACTTTGACAATCGTGAAAAACATGGGGAAAGTGGGAGTATCCAAAATTACATGTAACTGTGCCATTATCAGATTAAGATGTTATGTATAATGGCTACATTGTGTACTTTTGGCTAGTATACAAGTATTGGTCCTGATTTAGGAACAGAGTAATAGGATTGTTGGACATACCACTCTTTATATTCCTTCTATTCTAACTGTAACATATACAGATAACTAGACACTATACCTTTTCCAAAATACAAGACAAAATATATTTATTATTATAAATATATATTTTTTTCTAAAAATTTTAATCAACATACATTTTTTGTATATCTTTGAAAAAAAAATCAGACACACACAACCCAGAAACATGTATCTTATTTCAAAATCAGTGTTTCTTCATTTTGTAATTGAAATATATTGTGGTATTTGTTCAAATATATATATATATAATGGCCCAGAAGCTCTTTTCACAAAAAAAATCTTATGACAAGAATTGATCCTAATTATACTGAAATGTCCGGGACTACTGAGTATTTTTTCTCGTAATTTTTGTTGTTGATATCTATAGCTGGCCATGTGAAAATTTCCAACAAATCTATGGCTTGCATGAATTATTTCTTTAATATAACATTGATATAAGGTATAGTTTCCAATGAAACAACTATCTACTAGAGTTAAAATGAAGTGGTAGTACAGAGTTCGCGAAAACTTATTTTGACCCGTCGGTCATGGGACCGACAAAGCATGATTATTTGTCAGTCCTACAAAATTTTAGCCAGTCCTACAAAATCTCTCAATTTTGTCCTGAAAAAAAATTGATAACATATTTTATCGAAAAATAACTTTATTAATATTAGTTTTATTCTTCGCACCCACAGGCAAATTAACAATGAAAGACCAGTTCAGGTCTTCTGATTGTTCTTATTTAAAGTCATCTTCACTATCCATTTCATCATCTGAATCACTTTCTCGGCTGTTACAGTATTTGTAGGGTTCAATCGCCGATTGTTTGCCAGGGATGGCTCTATGGACAAATTAAGAAGGCCACGTGTAGATCGCCGCTTTGGTTTGTTTATAATAAATCCGTAAACCAGTACCGGAAATTGGCAGCGGATACATCTGATAACCGATGTAAACACTTATTGGAAACAGTTGCGGTACATCTAATAACCGATGTAAAAAAGTGCCGAAATATGCACTACAACGGCCGTTTTTACATCGGTCATTGGGACCGGCACTAGCCTTCAAAATACTGGTCCGAGCCTCATTTTGACCGACAGGACCGACAGGACCGACCATTTTCGTGAACTCTGGTAGTAAGGAATTATAGGACACTTTAGGGCCTTCAACAATGAGTAAAACCCATACTGTATAGTCTGCTATAAAAGGCCATGACATGAAAAATGAGGAACAACACTAATCACAATACTCGTAAGGGTAGTTGCTATTAAACTCTATTTAGTAGTAATGTGGAACAATTCAAAAGAAAAAACTGACAGCCTAAAAACATTTTAAAACTATTTAAATCGGCTTTCCTTTATCCATTTGAAAACCCATTATTTTCAGTTAATTTAATCCAATCACATGGTACAAATGTGTTGGAACCATTCATAGATATGTTAATGCTGAGAATCTTCATTGATTCCTTTTAGTACAATGTATTATAATTCAATTTTATGCAATTCGGTTTGATTTGTTAAATAAATATACCTGTATGTATTCATTTTTAGACAAATTTACCTGTATTTAAAGTAAAAGAATCTGGTGTACGAAGAAGATACAGTGACTTTGAGTGGTTACGGAATGAATTAGAAAGAGACAGTAAGGTAAATATACATGTACACGAAAAACAAAAAATGTGGGATTTTATGATATATATATCAACAAAACAGCAACCCTTAACAGGGTTTCACATTAAAAGGCTGTCCCATTGCCCTCGACGTATAAGTCAGCATCCAACAAGTAAATCTACAGTGTCCAAAGAACAACTAAAAATTAAAAGTTAAAAATACCAAATCTACTAGTCTTAATGAATTCTCTTTTATCAACAAATCATATCAATCAGCCCTGACAATATCAGCAAATTTAAGTATTTTTAGTATTATCCCTTTTTATTTATAGATATTTTAAAAATATTGGCAATCAGAGTATGAATCTGTTCTGTTGACACATTTTTTGATGAACCAATCAGATCAGACCTAGCTATTTTTAGAAAACTATTTGAGACCTCAAGATCTGATTATTTATTTATACTATTTTTAAAACTTGATCAAAAGTAACGTAAAGGAAGGTAAAATTATATATACAAATTAATTTAACCCTGATATTTATTTATGAGCTTTCTCAATGTTCGGCACTATGTTTACTTTATTTAAGAAAACAACACCCAAAGTCAAGTTTAAGTATTTCACTTTAACATTTATTTTAATCAGTGTCCCGTCCAAAATATAATTACCAGAAAAATTTGCCTAAAATTGTTTAAATCTCCATCTTTGGACGATAGAATAAAACATTGATAAGTTGATGAAAATGAAAATTAGGCCATAAAAAAGAATATGTTTGTTTGCCCTAACCCTACCTACCCAGAAAATAGCTGCCTACTCAAAATCTTTTATTGCCCTGATGTGAAAAAGTTTTTATTAAATCAGATAGGCATGAAGACTAAAAAACATCTGACGCTTCAATTTCTCTTTGCCGAAAAAACAAAGAAAAATGCCTACCTACCTACCCACTGTCTCTACCTTTGGGTAGGGTTTGGGCAAACCAAAATATTTTTAAGTGTGGCCTTACCCTTTGTCACCCTTCAGTGTCTTATATAAATAAGCAAATTATCCGTAGGAGTTTGAAATTTTTATTTGAACTATCCGTTCTTAAACTGTGGAAGTCATAGGAATATGTGCTTGTTTCTGTTTGAATGATATTACATGTACTAACAATTTATCTTTTTCATTTTCTTTCTTGGAAACTTTATTTAAATATAAACATTTGAACTGCACACTTATACCTTACAACAAAATTATTTTCATTTACCTGTGTTTAAAGTAATTGCAAATGGCTGATATTTCTGTTCAAGCATATTGTTTTTCTTAAATTGTTTAACATTTCACAGCAGTATAACATGTTACTTTAATTATTCTTCCCTTAGTTTATTTATTTTGTATTTACATTGTATAATAGATCAAATTTATTTGTTCAGTTTATGTTCACTGGTGTTAATATGTCTTTGATTGAGTTAAGCCATTTCAATTGATATTTTATAGTGTGTCTTTCTATGTTGTGATGTTACACTATTGTTTCAGATAAGGGTGAAGGTTTGGTACCATTAAAACGTTTAAGCCTGCTGCAATTGTTTGCACCTGTCCTAAGTCAGGAATCTGATGTTCAGTTGTTGTCGTTTGTTGATGTAGTTCATCAGTGAAGTGTTTCTTGTTTTTTATATAGATTAGACCGTTGGTTTTCCCGTTTGAATGGTTTTACACTTGTAATTTTTGGGGCCCTTTATAGCTTGCTGTTTGGTGTGAGCCAAGACTCATTGTTGAAGACCGTACTTTGACCTATAATGGTTTACTTTTATAAATTTTGACTTGGATGGAGAGTTGTTTCATTGGCACTCATACCACATCTTCTTATATCTATTTAGTGTTTGTTTTTTTATGTAAACTCCATCATTGCTCATTGTTGATTGTAGCCTGGACAGGGCCCAATCGGTTTCAGCTTTGTGTCATGTCAACAGACAAATCGCCCTGGGACTCATTTCACAAAAATTCTTGTTAGTAAAAAACTTGTAAGTCATAAACAGTTCTGTATTACTTACGATCCATTTAAATCTTAAGATTAATTGTGAAAATAGTCTCAGGATCCCAGGCTAATCGATTACGAAGAAACCCACAATTTTTGTTTTAGAATGGATACAAGCCAGAATAATTCCAGAAATAATGCATGGTTCCTGGTTTCCTTATACATGTAGCATGTATAGTGGTTAATTGACAGTTACTTTTTTTTACATGGTAACCAGAGTTGCGAGTCTGATCTTATTTTCGATCTACTGAAGTCTCTGACAAAAGCTACTGTACATACAGTACTCATCATTTGGAAAAATCTGTTCAAACATTATACTTGATCATTTCAAACTATCTGGCGCCAGAGACAGTAATCACTGGAGGGTTTCGCCGGTTGACAGCTTTAAATGACATCCCTGCCATTACAGTAATCGCTGTCTCAATTCATGTCTTAAATTTTCATTATAGATATAGTAACATCATTATATTTTTATACGCCTGTTTTTGGGACGTATTGTGGTATACTGTCTGTCCATCCAAACCTCTGTCTGTACGTCGTCAACATGTCGGACAATAACTCAAAAACTCTTTAACCAATTTGCATGAAACTTTGGTGAATTGTTTATATCTATTGATGTGAGCTCCCTTTCGTTGTTTATAAATTTAAGATTATAAGTTTCCGAGTTATGGGGTTTTATTCATTAAAAAAGGGGGATTTTCCAGTTTTCGGACAATAACTCAAAAACACTTTCACCAATTTGCAATGAGCTCCCTTTCGATTTTTATAAATTTTGGATTTTACGTTTCTGAGTTGAGGGGTTTTATTCCTTAAAAAAAGGGGGGATTTTCCAGTTTTTGGACAATAACTCAAAAATGTTTTCAGCAGTTTTCATGAAACTTTGGTGAATAGTTTATATCTATTGACGTAAGCTCCTTTTCGATTTTTATAAATTTTAGATTTTACCTTTCTGAGTTATGGGATTTTATTCATAAAGAGGGGGTGATTTTCCAGTTTTCGGACAATATCTTTAAAGTGATTTGAGCAGTTTTAATGAAACTTGGTGACTGGTTTATATTTATTAAGATAACCTCCCTTTAGTTTTTCATAAATTTCTGATATGACATTCAGAAGTTATTGAACTTTATTCTTTGAAAAAGTGACAGACGTATCATGTGCTCGTTGTGCAGCTGTTTGTTCCACTTGTCACTGTAGGAACTACCAATGAAATATCAAGCGCTATTTCATATTTGAAAAATAAAAAGAAAAGGGGGAAAACTAATGATCATTTATCAATTGAAATTCAATGAGGAAAGCTATTCTGTTTATGCTATTCATCACTTCTACAAAATGTAAGATGATCTAACTAAATGTCTATTAATGCGTGCTGAATGCATATTTTTCACTTTTTGGGGTCATCATTAATCTGTGATCCATGCCATTCTTAGGAGCCTCTAGTTAATTTGTTTATTGACATGTTTTTCAGTGTAGTAGCCCTATTTCTGATTTTTGAAGTAAGATAGAAACATAAGTGATTAACATTTATAGATGCTGGCTGAGAGATAAAGCTTCTATAGACCTTCTGGAAATAAATTTGGACTGACATTTTTACAGTAACTTCACCTTCTTATTCAGATTGTGGTACCACCACTTCCTGGTAAAGCCCTGAAAAGACAGTTACCATTCAGAGGTGATGATGGAATATTTGAGGATGAATTCATTGAAGACAGAAGAAAAGGACTTGAACAATTCATAAACAAGTAAGCAGTGTATGATTATTTCTTTTGTACCATGCTATTAATTGGAATATCACTAAAGGAGTAGGCCCGGTAAGACCCCTTTTTGGCCCTAAAATATAGCGTTTTTACAAAGTTGTTAAATTGTTAATTTTTAGTTATTTATTGGAAAGTAGCATACTTTTGTTACATAAATATGGACTGTTTTTGATAATAAAATGGACATGCATCAGGTACTAGCATCATTATTTCATGCAAAAATACTGATATCTTCACAATTTAAACATTTGTGCTAATTTCAAGACGGTTTTTGTCTGAAATGGAAGTGGCCGCACTTATGTTCATTCTTAATATTTAAATATATGTTGTAATTAATGATAATACATAATATATATAAATGTTGAGAGTGAACACGAATGTGCCCACATCCATTTTAGACAAAAACCATCTGAAAAGTGACGTTAAATGGCATATTTGATAGATTTTTCATATTTAAGCTTGAATTTTAGCGTTTTTAATGACCAATCAGTCCAAATCTTTAACAATAACCAATTAAATCGAATGATGTAGACACTTAAGTGTTTAAAAAATGTCAAAAATCTTTCATCAGATGTACTTTGAATTTTAGGCCGAAATTAGCCCTTACCGAACCTTTTCCTTTAACAAGCACAGCACAATTTGAAATAAAATGGCCTAAGACAATTGTTTAGTTTCGTCTGGCTTTGACACAGTCAAAAAGCGATACTGAAATATGCTGTTTCAGACGGGGCGTCAAAAATGTATTAGTTTGTGATTAGGTCAGTTTATGAGGAACCACTAATAGTAGGTCAATGATATTTGGAATGTGGTTGTGTTAGCATTGGCACATCTCATTTCCATGGAGATTATTTCGCCCTGTCCCCTCAGTCATGGTCTATTGACTATGAAACTTGCTTACTTTACATGTATTAGTTTGTGATTAGGTCAGTTTAAGAGGAACCACTTGTGGTAGGTCAATGATATTTTGTATGTAGAAGCAGTAGCATTGGCACATCTCATTTCCATGGAAATTGTTTGACTCCACCCCCTAAGCCATGGTCTTTTGACTTTGAATGTTTTGCATAGTTTACATTCATGTTAAGTTAGTGATTAATAGATCAGTTTAAGAGGAACCACCAATGTTAAGTCAATGATATTTGGTATGCAGATGTATTAGCATTTGCAAGTCTTTTTTCCATGGTGATTATATGACCTCACCCTCTCAGCATGGTTCATTGACTTTGAAACTTTTACATTGTTTACAAATTAAAGTTTGTATTTAGGTTACTGTAAAGGGATCCACTTATGATAAGTCAATGGTATTTAGTATGCAGTTTTATTAGCATTGGCATTTCTCATTTCTATTGAGTTATTTGGTCCTGCGCTATAAAGCATGGTTCATTGACTTTGAATGTTTTGCATAGTTTACATGTTTAAATATTGCCATTTGGATTTAATATATGCATTATACTATGAAAATTACAAAAAGGTTAGACTTATTTCTGTGTCAACAGTTTATTTTTATGGAATACTTAATTTGTGGTTTAAAAAACCAAGGAGACTGAATATGAATTAACTGTCTCTAGTGAAAAGCAGAATGTAGCAGTTGTTATACAGTCAATACCTTGGTAAGCTGCAGTCTGAGTGACGTGACATAACTATATAACTCATCCAAGGTTTGAGTCATCCGAGGTCACATGTATATTGTGTTCTTCCTTTCAATTTTGTACTTTGTGTTGTCAGCCTGTCATGTAATGGTAGAAAACGTATTTAATATCCTGATCCATATGCATAGATAATACATGCAATATTGAAAAATAGTTGATTTCATAAAAATAAAACAGAATAGACAATTCACATCTGATGTTTACAAAGATAAGTGAGAGACATTTCAGCGTGTGCATCCTATTTTTTTTAGTTTTAATAGTAAATACAGTTTTCATATGTCTATGTGCACTTTTTTCTTATTGCAGAGTTGCTGGCCACCCATTAGCACAGAATGAAAAATGTTTGCACATGTTTTTGATAGAACCAGTGATTGATAAGAACTATGTACCTGGTAAAATAAGAACAACTTGAGGTCACCAAAAAACACCATTTTAATGTTGTGAATATTTCTGTACATTTATTCTGTTTTATAGAGTTAGACTTCGTATAATTATGGACATACTTAAAATGCATTACCTTAGCATTTGGTTTTTCCTTCAAATTAGTGTATTTAAATTTTGACAAAGAATGAGAAAGAAAGGAAAAAATATAACAAAAAATCTATTCATAATCAATTTCTTTTATTTTTATATACATATTAGCACACAAGGTCTTGCATGAAGAAAAAATGAATGATTGCCAATAATTATCGCTTTGTGTAAACACGATGTACATTCACAAGTAGACTTTTGTTTACTTTTTTTTTTTTTGCAATTTATCTGAATAATATTTTAATTGTAAAGTTAATTATAATCAAATAATATATATTATGTGTATGTGTTTTATAAATATACTTGCTACACTGTAATATCTAAATGATTAAGTTCTGATTTACCTAGATATTATGTTTACTTATGTAAATTGACACATTTTTTGAACAAAATTCTGATTTACCTAGATATTATGTTTACTTATGTAAATTAACACATTTTTTTAACAATAATCTCGAAAACAAATGCATATCACTGTGGGCGGGTACATACTAAAACATTGATTTTATATTGGTAGATATGTAACAAAATGAAGATACTAAATTGTAATCTCACTTTCACAATAATAAGAAGTTCAATTTATTCAAGATTATTTACAAGATGACATTCCATTATCATTTGTTTCAAGATTGTTTTAGTTTTAAGGTTATGGCTTGAAACTATTTATTTATACTGACATTTTTTGTGATTAAAATATTATTATTCAAAAACTTCAGAATACTTGTATACAGTAAATCAAACTAATGTGATGGTCAGATTCACTAATATCTTATTGTTTTCACTGTAAGTTTTATTTATAACTGTTACATGACAGATACTTTAAATTCACAGATTTTTGTGTGCATGTATTATTGTGTATTTTAAACAATTGACACAAATGCTAGATTAATTAGGTATTGCAACTTTAGAAATTGCTGCATACAAATAATTCTATCACAATTTGAAATGTGAGTTTATCCTATTGCAATTTTAGAAATAACAAAAACACTTCAAAACTTTTTGAATTTACAGTACTGTAGTTGATTTATATGTAGTAAAAAATTGATATTATCGATTAGGGGAAGACATTTATTAGGTTTTACCCTCATGAAATAAATGAACTTACACATACAATGAATATAATCTGTGGAGATGGATTTTAAAACACAATACATGCTGGAAATTTTATTTCTGAATTCATGATCACAAAATGTAAACATTGTTTACGTACAAGCTATCCCACCATTTACGTTAATGATCAATCTGCATGATACATGTCCTTTCCAGCACAAGCACTAAAATAATAAAATAATGTTGTATATGCATTTTAAGTTACAATACACTTAAGAACATTGAGGTAATCACAAATGAAACAGGATGATTGCTGATGATAATTTACTATTGCCAGGTATACCACTCTGAACTCTGTTAATATAATCATGTGGGGAAACAATTGTGTGTCTGTACAGTAGATATCAGCCAGTTATTCACTACAAGTATGTTTGCGCAAGGAACTCAAATATTTCCTTGAAACCCTTCTCATAGGGCATTATCATTTTTTGTTTTGTTTGGGGCCATAATAACAAGCAAATTATTTTAAGTTCAGCATCAAAGTTAAGTATAAAACTACCAGCATTAAGACAAATAATGTTTTGTGAAGTTTGAATCAGTTTTTTATTGCTCCTTTTGAGTTAAAATTTTACTCTTGATTCTGGAGAGCAAAGTTTTTTCAATGAAATATATTCACACAAACTTCATGGGAAATGTCCAGTTTAGATATCTATTATTTTCTTGCAAGTATTGAATTGGTAAAATTGGTATAATAAAACTTGTGATTCAATGAAATATTTTAAAGCTTCTGTAGGCCACAAAAAAAAATAGCTTCTCTGGTCAATTCATTAGAAATTTATAATTAGACAGGTAGACGTTTTATTTTTTTTTTTAAACTTCCTTGCATGTCACCAACAAAAATGCAATCTTGATTGACAGATTTTTTCTTATTACACTGGACATCAAGTTTGAAAAGCTTTAAACTATTGACATAAAAAAAATCTGTTGTTTTTTTTTACATAGATTGCTATTTATAATTAGGAACTGGAATGTAATCTAGAAATGACAACTTTTTAGATTTTACCAGATGCTTATTCATTGTATTCAGGTTTTTTTTACTTGACTATGTATGAAAATAAATTCATATGTTTGTGTATTGCTTTTTACAAAACTGGTATTTTTCCCTTACCAAATTACAGCTGATACAACATTTTTTGTCCACATAATGTAATGAGATTTAAGATTGTAATTGTAAAAAGATGAAATTACATGGAATCATCTTGACCATAGAATTTTTTATTTGGAAAAACCTAAACAGCAAAGAAAACAGTTGTCTGTCAGATGTACTTCATAAGTGAAGTTAATGAAGATCAAATTAACAAATGGATTTTGGAAACATGTACAGGTTGTTTTTATTGGTATTGATGAAGTTTAAAGGACATAAAGAAGTGAATAATTTGTTGTAGAAGAAAGTGATAGAAAATGTTTTGTAACTGTTGTTTAAGGTACACTGTAGTCTTTTCTCAAGAGATTATTTTATGAAGAGGCTGAAATAAATATTTATTATTTTGATTTTGATTTTCTTTTCAATTTACCCAATACAAGCTTCTGTACAAATGTAATGCAACAGATAAAAAGCAGGTCTTTCTAAGAAGTGGATGCAAGTAAACTGACACTTTAACTTGTTTTATTATGAATTTTTTTTTATAATGAATTAAAGGAGATGTGGGGCTACATAAATTGAAAAATTGCAGAATTTTTAGTTTTTCTCTAACTTAAGTTTGCCTCAACCAAATTTTATGAAACATATACACAATGCTTATTACCACAAAATAAAGATCAAGTTTGAATTTTAGTGGGGTCACTTTAACCATTCTCGAGTTATGCCCCTTTATAAATGGAAAAAATGCAAAATTTTTAGTTTCCGTTCTCTAACTTAAGTTGCCTCAACCAAATGTTATGAAACTTATACACAATGTTTTTTACCACAAAACACAGATCAAGTTGAATTTTGGTAGCATCACTTTAATCATTATCGAGTTATGCCCCTTTATAAATCGAAAATTGCCAAATTTTTAGTTTTCGTTTTGTAACTTAAGTTTGCCCCAACCTAACATTATGAAACATAATACACAATACTTATTACCGGTACCTTAAAACTCAGATTAAGTACAAATTTAGGTAGCGTCACTTTTATCGTTCTTGAGTTATGTCCCTTTATAATGTTGTATGCAAGCTGGGGCATCATCTGTGTCCATGGGGACACATTCTCCATTTATTTCTTAATAACTGCTGTATGCATTTATTATAGATAAATTTATGAAGGTATTATAAGAACAATGTGTGACCAAGATCAAGATGAAATTGAATTGGTATTTAATTCAGATTTTCAGATTTTTTTATACGCACTCCAAAATTTTGATGGGTCGTATTATGGTATACAAATGTCGTCTGTCCATCTGTCTGTCCGTCTGTCCGTCTGTCTGTCCGGCGTAAACATGTCACATAGTAACTTGAGAAGGACTTATCCAAATTTTATGAAACTTAATATAGTTGTTTCTTATGATGGTCAAACGATCTGTATACTTTTTGGTGAAAATAAGATTAAAACTTTTTGAGTTACAGGACTTAGTAACTAAAACAGGTGCATGTTTTTTTTCACATGTCGCGTCGTATCTCAAAAACGATTTATGATTATTGCTTAAAATTTTACACACTTCTTAGTTAAATTAATCTTAAGATCTGTATACTTTTTGATTTTGATTCAAAATTTTATTTTAGAGATATTGAGTTTTTTTGTAAAAAAAAGGGGGGTTTTCGCATGTCACGCCATATGTCAGAAACTATTTATGATTATTGCATAAAAATTCACACACAAGAAGACGGGCGTATCATGCGCTCATGGCGCAGCTGTTTATTTTTATTAAGATAACTAATATTACATTAGTGTTACTATAAACAACAAAAGACCTTTAAAGATATGATTGAAAACCAACAAAAAGTTGTATCAACAACAATGTACAACCCCCCCCCAAAAAAAAACAACAAAAAAACAAAACAAATATGATACAATGTATGACTCAAAGTCTCAAACAAACAGAAACCGACCACTATAGTCTATAGACCACTTAATTATTGGGCTTCTTAACAATGATTGACATAAAACAATATTTAACTTCAGACTTTTGATAGAAATATTAAATCATTGTGAATCTGATTGTGTTTTTCTATGCAGAAACAGATATTTAAAGTGAGAAAAATTGATTTTATTGTTTTGTCCCATTGTAATTGCCATAGTCATGGCATGCAGGTACATGTACTGTAAACTCACAAATATGTAACAGTTATCTTGCTTTTCAAGAGAAATTGATTTGGCTTGTTATTAATATAAAAATAAGGAGATGTGGTATCTATTGCAAATGAGACAACTGTCCACCAGAGTTCAAACAATGCGGATAAAAGCAATTATAGGTCACCTTACAGCCTTCAACAATGAGAAAATCTCATATGTATAGTCAGCTATAAAAAGTCCAACCAGGCTCCCAACATGAAAATTGTGAAGCAATTCAAACAAAAAACTTAATTTATAACAATACAGTCTATGAAAAATAAATATGACTGACATAAACCAAGTCATAACATAAGTCCTGCTGTCTTGTGTTCACTGATGCTATTGACATCATGAATATGACTAATATGATAATCACATTTCTAATGAAGCATTTTGATACCGAGAATTACATTTTGATCTTTATTTGCTATATATTCATACTTAGTGGAACATTTGCACATAAAAAGACTGTTCTTCAAAACCTAAATTCCTGCTGATATTTGCATTTTACAATGATTCTCATGAGAAAAATATATAGATCTGATTATCAATCATCCATCATTGGAATCAAGCAATCATTGAGAGCACTGAAGGTCTTACTGGTTTCCCAAATTCCAACATTATTTTAGTATTATTGTGTGTATCATACAAAGAAAAATATTATTCTAGTTTCAAAACTGGTTTAAATGGAATGAAACAATTCTGAAAAAGTGGATTTTTCTAATACTCATTAAGCAAAAATAAAAAACTTGGCAAGCCCCAGTTTGTAATCTGATCAGAACATTTATGTAATTAGCTTAACTACAATTGTTTCAGGAAACATTTGTAGTTGCTAGGTTTCTGAGTCCATGCAGTTGTTTTTAATGTTTTCATTTACAACACATTTTAAATTGTTCAAGATAGTACCAGTTATGATTATGCTGATGATAAAAGCTCACACTGTGACTCATGACTTTAATAAATAAAGTTGTAAAAACTTTCAAAATTGATAGCACAAAAATCATTAGTTGAACTTGAACATTATTTGATTTTAAATTAATTATTAGTTTTCTTCATTTCTCATTACGCAAACGAAATGATGTTTGTCCTGCAATTACAACTACAAACCACTGACCACCATTAATAATCTGATTATTATGCCACTTTTGGATGCACATGTGATAATAGTTAGTGCTATACATTCTATATACAGTCAAAGTGTTGTCCTTCATACCAAACAGTTTTTATATAAGGTTTTGGATGTTGCAATTTATTATATTATATATTGAATTTCCAAAAATTGCATCATCTGAACCAATTAAAGTACTTTCTTGTCCCAATAAATTTTGTGGTAAATAGTTGACACGCTTGTTGTTCGGACGCCTCTAATTCACCATTGTATTGGAAGAAAAATTCCGAGAGACGAAATCATGGAGGAAAGTGTGGAAAAAGAAATCGAAAAAAATGCTGTTCCCAATTTATTGTATCCAGAATTGATGTCAGTTGGCGATTTGATTTCAGTTTTAGATCAAGTATGTCTCCAGTTCGAAAGAGTTCGGCATGTCTTTGTCTAATCCCATTTGGGATTCTGTGCACGGAGTGATTGTCGGGTTGCACTAATGACAGGACGATTGCCCGGATAGTGACAGGACGATTGACCGGATGAGATATAAATAGTCATAACTTTTTTGGTATTCGGTAGATTATTTTAATATTTGTAGACCTTAGAGATATTATACTATATTTTATGAAAATAAAACAAAATAAGTGAAAAAAAATATTTTTGAGCAATTAAAGTTGACCGGACGGAAGTCACACTCGCCGATACACGCTATACATATATTCAACTGGTCGAAAACAAGTGTTAATATCTCTTTTGTTTTACAATATTTGTCGATGAAATTAAGGAATCTGTGAGAATAATAAATACATAATACGAAAATATAAACCGTATAGTAAACAAAAATGTTTTTCTGCAAAAAAAGTTGACCGGACGGTATTGACATTCGCCGATGTACGCGTTGATTATATTGAACTGATCGACAAAAAGTGTTTATATTTTTTTTGTTTTACAATATTTTTACATGAAACTAAGAAATCTACGAGATCAATAAATATATGATATGAAAATATAAACTTTATAGTAAAAAACATTGTTTTTCTTTAAAAAAAAGTTGACCGGACGGAACTAACATTCGCCGTTATATGCTTTAAATATATTGAACTGATCGACACAAGTGTTAATATCTCTTCTTTTTTTTAACAATATCTGTCCATGAAATTAAGAAATCTACGAGATCAATAAATATATGATATGAAAATATAAACTTTATAGTAAAAAAAAATGTTTTTCTGCAAAAAAGTTGACCGGACGGAATTAACATTCGCCGAAATATGCTTTAAATATATTGAACTGATCGACAAAAGCGTTAATATCTCTTCTTTTTTTTTTTATAATATCTGTCCATGAAATAAATGAATCTGTGAGATAAATCAATATATTATACGAAAATATAAATTTTATAGTAAAAACTTTGAGCCCAAAATGTTGATTTGAGTGAGTTCACCACGGCACACTAGAAGTACTTATATTTAATTAGATTAATCTAATTTTAACAGCTTCCATTTTCATTTGATTATTTCCAAATGATCAAATTCTGGATCTGGCAAGTTAAGAAAAAGACAAATTCTAACTAGCAACTATAAGAACATGATTTTTAAAGAAGAATTGCCACATGATAGTTATCATACTGTGTACTGTACTCCTTAGATCTATTTCACTACTTGCATATCAGTTTTACATATTTCAACACTTTTTATAAGCTGTAAACTGTTTCCAAATGTTGCTAAGATCCCTTGATTTCTTAACCAAATTAAACTTAAGAGGCTTTAACAGAATTCTGATAAAGTCAAACTATGTGTTTCAGAAACAATCATCTTATCAGAATTATGTTTAGAACAATATCCCCAAAGAGACCAGCTTAGATGCTACAGACATATAAGAATTTTGTTTAGAAGGCCATTGATACAAGATGCTTCTAACTTATCAGAATTCTGTTAAGAAGGCTATTGTTATGAGATGCGACAGTCTTATCAGAATTCTGCTAAGAAGACTATTGCTTTGATATGCGACAGTCTTATCATAATTCTGTTAAGTAGGCTATTGCTATCAGATTAGAGTCTTATCAGAATTCCGTTAAGGGTTTCATTGGTACTATATTCGATTCTTATCAGAATTCAGTTAAGATAGCTATTGTTATGAGATGCGACTGTCTAATCAGAATTCTGTTAAGAAGGCTATTGTTATCAGATGTAAGTTTTATCAGAATTCCGTTAAGGGTTTCATTGGTACTATATTCGATTCTTATCAGAATTCTGGTAAGAAGGCTATTGTTATCAGATGCGACTGTCTTATCAGAATTCTGTTAAGAAGGCTATTGTTATCAGATGCGACTGTCTTATCAGAATTCTGTTAAGAAGGCTATTGTTATCAGATGTGAGTCTTATCAGAATTCCGTTAAGGGTTTCACTGGTAGTATATTCGAAGTGTTATCAGAATTCTGTTAAGATTTATATTGTTATCAGAAGTGACAATCTTATCACTGAGAATTCTGTTAAGGACAAAATGTATATTGAAATGTTGGCATATCATTATTAAGAAATACTGTAAAGGACATGAAGAATATTGACATTTATCATATACTTGTATAAAATATTACTTAAATTTTACAGTTCAATAACATTTAAAAATAATTAAAAGGCTATGAAAGGGTTATTATGTTTATCAACCAGATTCCTAAGAATTTCCTCGGCGGGCTGATAAACGAACCTTTATTGACTGCTTCCGGAATGTTATCACATGCATTTCCGTTATTGTCCGTGGGGTTTATCCCATGCAACTTCGTGCATTTCCGGAAATTTCTTTGTAAACATGGCAGGCGGTGACAATAAATTTTTCTAACTAAGAACATAATAATTCTTGTGATATGTCACATGATAAATGAAATGCTTGTTATATCAATAAAAACAATTACAGTTAATAAATTTGTATTTGGTTGTCTGTAAATTATTATCTAGAAGTTCAAAGAAAAACAAAATTTTAATAGTTCTTGTCTGTATTTCTTCTGCTGAAGAATATGATAAAAAGATCATTACATGTCATTTTTCATATCAGACCCTTTATCGGCCCTCGTTCATGATATCATCCCTCGAGCCTCCGGCTCTTGGGCTGATATCATGACCTAGGGCCGATAAAGGGTTTGATATGAAAAATGCCATGTAATAATCTATACTTATCATATACTTAGAGTAAATAACTTATAATTTTTACAGTATGATAATAGCATTAAATTTACGTGAATTCCATATTTTCCGAAATGGTGTTTAGCGGGCTAATATGAAAAATTTATCACATGCTTCCGATTATTATCACATGCCTTTCCGTAACGTTATCGGATGGCACTCCGGCGTTACTCGGCAAATTCCGGAAAATACACCTCAATGCTACGTTTTCAGTGAAAAACTTTACAAAGTAGGGTACAAAACAATTATTAGGAAACAGGAACATATTTTACTTTTTATATTATGTAAAATGCAAAAAAAAAAAAAATAAACAAAAAAACAAACAAACCAAGTGATACAATAAATGCATTTTTTAAAGTTTCCAGCATAATTTAGAAAGTTACTTTATAAATGTTGACTTTTCCAAACAGTGTCCATTATGTTTTGTTGATTTTTTTTTATCGTCAATATAAAAATGTATAATTATACTGTTGTTTTTCTCCTCTGTTGAGGCATATGATAGAAAGATTTCATATCGGATGTATTAGATTTGGTGTCCGACGTCCGTAAAATTTTCACTTTTTGAACTTCTACTTGAGAACCACTTAAACGGATCAATATATTAAACTGTTATTTTTCTCCATTATTGAAGCATATGATAAAAAGATCATAACATGCCTTCGGCTCTTGGGCTGATATTGAACCTTGGGCTGATAATACATCTGATATGAAAAATGCCATGTAATATTCTGATAGTATGTCTATCAGAATTCTGACCAAAAACACAAATAGTGTTATCAGAATTATGGTAAGGACATTATTGTTAACAAGGTAAAACGAAACATAGACATATGTATCGTATGAAAAGAAAATACCGCATTTAATTTAAAAGTAATATTATAATAATAAATAAACTCAGTTAATCGTACTTGTTATAAAGTCTTCGTAGAATAACAAATTGACAAATGATTGGTAAACATTTTCCTTACCTTTTCATTACAATAACATCAAATTTTGATAAAACATTAATTAACTACCTTAAGCACATCAAATACATTTCAATTTGTAGCTACTGTCTGCTTAAAATACACACATACAACAGCAATCCTTTTTCATGTGTCCAATTAGAATTAGGAATGCTTACTGAAAGATACAAAAGGAATTTAATTTGACTTAAAACGTCTGGAAAAATCATAAGTGGAAACTTTGTTACACTTCTTTAAATATTATAGTAAGTAAGATATTATGCATATTGTAATTGACAATTTTGTACAATATTCACACTTTTTAGGATTTGTTAATCTTATCCTCAAATATATATATATTGTTGATCATATCCTCCTAATACATGATGTAATAGCTGATACTCGTTGGAGTAATTTAGGGTCCCACACATACATGTAGAAGCACTATATATAACAGTTTTTTAAATGTTGTAGAGCATTTAGTTTCCTTTCCAACGTCAACTTGTATTTCCCAACCAACAAGAGAACAAATGTGTGGTGTTCTTCTCTAAACCAGGAAATGTTTCCTGAAAAAGAAAGAAAATGAAACTTCAAAACCCTATTTTAGAGTTTCTTTGATACATTAAGTATGAATAAAAGGAGGAGTGAGGTACATGTCAATGAACCAGCAACCTAACCACATCTTGAATGTCAAAATACCTGTTCAACAAAAGAATGTATGGGTGCCACATGTGGAGCAAAATCTGCTTACCCTTCCGGAGCACCTGAGATCACCCCCAGTTTTTGGTGGGGTTCGTGTTGCTTAGTCTTTAGTTTTCTTTGTTGTGTCATCTGTACTATTATTTGTCTGTTTGTCTTTTTATTTTTGGCCATGGCGTTGTCAGTTTGCTTTCGATCTATGAGTTTGACTGTCCCTCTGGTATCTTTCGTCCCTCTTTTTTTAATATCGTTCGAATTAATTTCTAATCAAATGAGTTTAGATTATTCAAACTTCCACATATTTGCACTTAACACCAAAATCTACAAACAATAAAAATCAATAAGAAATTACAGGAAACACTGACGAGGTTACCGGTTTTAAGCAGAAATATAAACTTGGGTCGGTAAAAAACAAAATTTCACATCACCTACCCTTTATATCAAAATGAAGGACTCTTTAGTTCATAACAAGAAACACAATGCAAGCGATCTTAAAGTCAATCGTCTTGAGATTATGTAATGCATCACATGCACCGATAATTTGACAGCCACTGATTTGAAAATACATTAGTTCATCATAAACACCG